GTTAGATCATTACTTCACACATTTTATCAAAAGTAATTCCAAATGGATTAAATAAGTAAACATAAAAGGAGGTATCATAACATACATGATTCTAAGCTGGAGGAAGACCTTCTGAAGAACACACTAGGGGAAACCAAAAGTGAGTTGAGTGGATTTAAAGCAAAGATAAAATTGTTTATAGGACATAAAACACCAAAAACAAAATAAAAAGTAAATGAAAATGGAAAGCAAACCATGATTAAAACTCAGGGCTGCTAATCAAAGTTTCCTTCTTTTGACCAGGGTTTCTCAACCTCAGCCCTGTTGACATTTTGGACGAGATAATTCTTTGTTGTGGGGACTGTCCTGTGCATTCTAGGATATTCCCATCATCTCTGGCTTCCACCCACTAGGTGCCAGTAGCACCCTCTCCCCCGGTTGTCGATGACTGAAAATGTCTCCAGATGTTGCCACACGTCCCGAGGGGCAAACACCCACGACTGAGAACCACCACTCAGAAGCAGAGTCAGAGCAGACATCAGAGTCACCTGGAGGCCTTGAAAACACAGCTGGCTGGGTGTTCTCCCTGGAGGAGATGTAGTAAGTCTGGGGTGGGGGTTGAGAATTTGCATTTTCAGTCAGTTCCCAGGTGGTGCTGAAGCTGCTGATGTGGGACCACACTTTGGGAACCTCTGATCCATGCTACTTTGCTTGCAAATAAGCATGTCGGCCCCTATAAAATAAAAGTAATAATATCAACATTTCCAGAAGATAGAAAGGTGTGACTGTAGGCAATCTTTGTGACAGTGAGGTTCTGGAGTTTTCAAAACCATGCTATTACAGGAAATTGGAAGATAGCTGCAAAATTTATGGTTTATGGATAAGACGAAGATTTGGTTTACATTTGCTCTAAATTTAGTGATTTTTCTCAAATAATGTTACTATAGAGGGGGCCAGCCCTGTGGCCATGTGGTTAAGTTCTCACGCTCTGCTTTGGTGGCCTGGGGTTCACGGGTTTGGATCCTGGCCGTGGACCCAGCACCACTCCTCAAGCCATGCTGTGGTGGCATCCCACATAGCACAACCAGAAGGACCTAAAACTAGAAGATACAACTATGTACTGAGGGTGCTTTGGGGAGGGGAAAAAAAAGGAAGATTGGAAATAGATGTTAGCTCAGGGCCAATCTTCCTCACCAAAAAAGCATTAAAAAAATAAAAATAAATATTACTATAGAGATGACCAAAATGAAAAGAAGCAATCTCAAGAGAAACGGTAAAGATGATAGCATTGAATCTCATCAGTCTATGATATGGACTCCACTCATCTTTACTCAGTGTTTTCCCAATTGCTCGTTCAGCTTGCTGTGATGAACTTTATATAAATTTCCAGGAGCTACATAAGAAAAGCTGTACAACCCTCTTCACTTAGCACCACATAATTTTTAATACCTTAACTAAACAATTTTTGTTGGAACAGCAGGAAACTGCTGGAATGAATGCCGATTGGAGAAAGAATAATGAAAGGAATCGTTATGGGCTGAATTTCAGCGGATGGCTTCTATTTCATCTCCTCGGTTGACCAGACATGACAGAACTCTGCAGAGGCATTTTTAGATCATTGCTTTTTAGCACTAATCAGTGTCTGCTCTGCGTGCCTGGTGCCAGTGTTGATTGTGGCCAAGCAAATCCGAGAAATCAAACGACCCATCCTCGCACCATCAAGCTACAAAGAAAATCAATAGCCCCGTGCTGGCAACATTCTTTTATTGTTGTCTCCTTAATCTCCTCTCCTCGTTTGCAATTACTTTTATTATTACTGCTCATTTAATGAGACCCTGGAGTTTGGAGCCAGATGGTGCTGTTAGTTAAATCTGAAAGATGCTAATGGAATTCAAGTTCAAACCAGGTTAAGAGTAATAGAATTACAAATCTTGCTGGTCATCATCTCATAGCGCACTGCTTTGTGTACCTTTTACACGCCAGAAATCAGGGCAGGCTTCCAACAGGAAGACTTGGATTAAGGTTGAGAAAGACCAAGTGTGCTCTCTCACTCATTCATTCATTCATTCACTCACTCCTTCTTTCAACAGATATTTCATTGTGTTCCTCTCTGGGTCCTGCAGTATGGCATAGACAAGACAGGCATGCTCCATGCCTCATGAAGCTTGTAGTCGGCTGGAAGAGAAGGACAACATCTAACAAACAAGTCAGACGGCTCTGCCTTGCCGAAAGTGCCGGGAAGGAGGAAGCAGGGAGGCGACGTGGAGGGAGAGAGGAGGACGGAGTTGAGAAGGGTGATCAGAGAAGCTCTCCGGGGAGGTGCTCTTTAAGCTGAGACCCAAATGATGAGAAGACGCTGACTTGGGTAAAATGTTACCACACAAAGGGCACTATCTGCTCACCATATGACAAAAGCCAATTGTCAAGAGGCAAGATGGCGGGAGATAAAGGGCAACTTATCACAGCTCGCTAGCAAGAGGGAAGATGGCCAACTAATGTCCAAAAGGACCATCTTAAGGGTGGCACAGAATCTTGAAGCAGTTATATAAGCCAGAGGATCATAGGGGAGAGGGTTAGGAATGTTGATCCAGGAATCGCCACACCAGATCTTTCAGTTGTCATTGATGATGGCTATCAGGATAGACTCTCTTTTCGGGGGTCATCATATTTCTAAGGAACTCAAAAGAACAAAGTTATCATCTTATCACAGCTGGGAGGTATGTGCATAAGCAGGGGTCATAGATTCTACAGAACAGGTGCATCTCCTGGAGGGTGCATGTCCAGCTGGGTTAGTTAGTCAGAGGTCATCCAAGTTACAACATGGTCTCTCTTCTACAATATGGCTTCCCTTATGTCAACCTTGTGTTGAGCCAGTATCAAAAACAAGGGGAATGTCATTATTGTTTGTTGGAAGAAATAGCACATGCAAAGGCTGTGGAATGGAAGTCGTGTGGTATCCCCAGGGAATTGCAAGGACACTTGTGTGCTGGAACTTAGTGAGGGGTGGAGGGTGGCCCGAGATGAGGCCAGAAGCTGCTGGACCCGGAGATGCTGCATGGGGCACGGGGGCAGCCAGACACTGAAATTGTCCAGGGAATTTTAATCCACCTTTCTGCCAATGTGCCGATGAATAAGACTCATGGAAAGAGCATCTTTTGGGATAGGGCAGTCAACATTCATGATCCAGACAGAGGCACGATTTTAAACCTTTGTGCAGAGGGCAGGCAAAACAGAGGCAATCTTTGGATTAATAAAGTTGCTTGGACAGTAGCAGTAAATTTAAGATTTGCCTCACTGCACTTCCAGTAGGGCATATTTGTCATATTAAATGGACCCAGGCTTTTCTCGTCTTCCTCCTCCTTCTTGTGGGTAACAGCTCTTGGCCTGCCTCTGGCGAGTGCCACCATCCCACACCGCATCCTCTGCTAAGTGACTACGGTCCCCTTCCCAGAGATTTCCTTTCTGCTCTTTCTACCTGGCCTGAGTCTCCTTCTCTCCTGTCAGATGCTTCTGCAGCTGTTGAGGCTCGGTTCAGAGCGACACATGACCACCTGGGAAGCGAGGTCAGTGGGAGTGAGCAAACTGCCAGTGTCGCCACCATCTCCAAGAATTCCTATTTTCATTTCCCTTGTCGGTACTTATATTTGCCTTGTTTAAGCAGGGGGAGCGAGATCATTAGTTCACTTCCATAGTCTCTGGACCTGTTGCCTTATACACAGCAGATACTAAAAAATATTTGTTGAATTCTTGCGAGCAGTTACCATTTATTGTGCAATTAATTTGCCAACCAAACTTCCAAGGGTTTGTGATTTAATCCTGTGTGATCGTCAATTTTATATATCAACTTGGCCATGGTGCCCATATATTTGGTCAAACATTATTCTGGATGTTTCTGTGAAGATAATTTTTAGATGACATTAACATTTAGATCAGTGGTCTTTGCGTAAAGCAGATTATTCCCTATCATGTGGGTGGGCCTCATCCAACCAGTTGAAGGCCTTCATAGACAAAGACCGGCTTCCTCCGAGCAGGAAGGAATAATGGCAGCAGGCGGCCTTTGGACTCGATTTGCAACCCTTGCCTGCTGGCCTGCCCTGCAGATTTTAGACTTGCTAGCCTCCACCATCACATGAGACAATTCCTTAAAATAAATCTCTCTCTTTCTTTTCCTCTTCGTACATCCTGTTGGTGCTGTTTCTCTGGAGAACCTTGACTCATAATACACCTTACATCTAATCATTTATGCCCATTTTAGAGAGGGGGCAGTTGAGGTTCAGAGGCATTGGGTACTATGTACCAAGGGTACAAGTGTGGAGCCAAGATTCCAGTCCAGATCTTTTGGAGCCACAGCCCAACACGGCTTCTTACGCATGAATTTGAAGCATGAGAACAGGAGGACCCACACATAATACAAACTGTGTTTACCATAAAGTGTCTTCCCTTTTCAATGATTCACAAACTACCTTGGGATCTTACAGTGCGTGAGAAGCATCACTATGCAAACACTTATTATCCAGGTGAAGGGCAACAATGTCCGCAGCAGAGAAGCATGGTGGACAGGAAGGTGTGTCACAGCCTTTTATCATACATATATATATATACTCCCTTGGAATTTTTTGGTCCTACAGATTAAATTATTTTTTTTTAGTCATAATTTCCAGAACGATCTTGAAATAACCCCACAATTTTCATAAGCGGTCAACTGCAAGATCTTTAGGAACATGAGAAGGAGCTAAAAAGACAGTTGAAAATGAACCATTTTGCAGAAAATGAGAATTACACCCCTTCCCCCCAAAATGAAATTAAAATAAAGAGAAATAAGCAGTGCATGCATGTGGATGAAATTCAAAGAGAGAAAAACAAACAGCCCACATGGAGTCCCCGAGCCTGTTGATGTCTTTTGCCGTGGGCTAAAGTCCCAAGTTGAGGTCAAAACTTCAAAAGTGGCCTCAAACTGGCACCTCTCCATAGGAAAAGCCAGCAGTAAATATTCACCCTAGGATCAATCGTTTCTGTTTAAGCCACGGACTGCTCCAGTGGGAGAGAGCAAACCAGGTCATGATTGATAAAGAGCAGCTTTCGGGAGGACAGGCCACCCCCAAACGCACAGAGCCAATCGCCCCAGCTCTGAATTAAAATTATTCTTCCCAGAATGGAGATGATGGTGACGAAGCTGTTGATGGTGTTTGCTCTTGGAATGAGCTACTGGTCTTGTGCAGGTAAGGAGCTCAATGCACGTAACCATGGCAGCTGCCCCGGCCCGGGTGTCTTGTCTCACTGTGTCCTCGTGCGTTTGTGTGTCCAGGTTTCCCGGTGTATGACTATGACCTGTCCTCCTTGACGGAAGCCCTCAACGCCTCTGTGGCAAAAGTGAATTCTCGGTCCCTGAGTCCATATCTGTTTCGGGCGTTCAGAAGCTCAATAAAAAGAGTAAGTGCCCGTCAGGTCGTCTCCGTTCCTCTTCATGCTGCTTTCTGTTGTTTTTTTTCTTTCGTCAGTTTCTTGGGTACACTTTTTTTATTTTTCCAGTTTAAAAAGATAATAGCTAGTCGTCTGTTTCATCCTGCTTTTTGAGACAGAAAAGATTTCATTACGATGATTGTCGTAAGGCCCTTGAGCTACTTCGGGTGCCTGATTCTTCGGCTGTATTTTTCCCTCTGGCCTCATTGCCTATTTCCAGATGTCACCCTTGGCACGTCTTGCTTTTGTATCCCACGTCTCACGGTTCCTCTTGAGATGTTTTATTAAGAACCACTCGTTTATTAGAAAGGAAGCTTTTTCAAGTTCAGTGGTTCTGCTCTTAATACTTATAGGAAATAACTTCTGGCTTTGGAGCTACAGAAATCCGCCTTCCTGTGTCAATTTAGTAAGAGTCTGTTTCCCGTTAGCCTTGGGAAATAGGGAAAGACGAATTTTCTTGGGCTGCCAGTGATGAAGTCTGTGATAAACGCAGAAATATCCTTCAAAGGAAATGCAAAACCTAGACAGCAAGTCCCTCCCTCCTTCGGGATCCCGGGGGATTTTGCCTCCCAGAGGAGCTCCTGTAGGAACAGAAATGTCCTCAAGCTAGTTTAGGTTACGATGGGGGGTGGGGGAGATCCTATAAAGTTGTGGGTCCTACAAATGAGAACTCTATGCAGCCAGGCCACATGGAGCCAGCGTGGAGACAGCCAGGAGTCCAGGCAGCAACTACTCCCTCGAGGGGGCCAGAAGGCCACTGCTGTCTCTCTGTCTGTCTGCTCTCTTCTCTGCTCCCTGCTGCTGCCACCTTAGCTCACGCTTAACTTGCTCCCTCTCATCCCGTGAAGAGCACACGGCTCATGGTCTCTTATCCCCAGTCCCCAAATACAGTACGTTCATCTGACACTTCTTCAGAAACTGGCTCAGTTTCTCATTTCCAGATTCCCAGGGAATTAATCGAATTGTCCCACTTCTTTTCTCACTGGGTCATAGGTCATGGAAATGATGGGCTATGATTTGGTTAGGTGCCCGCTCAGAACAAGGCTGTCAGGGCCAGAGTAGGGTCACCTCACCCGGCCTGGATGTCATGGTGTGGAGGCCCTGAGAGATACGTGCAGTTAGCTGCCAAAGTGAAAGGTGAATTCCTTCTGGAAAAGCGCTGCACCAGAATAAAGAACCCCCCTCCCTGCACACTGGCTGTATCGGCCTCCATCTTTTGCATTTAATGACATCCACTTGCAGTGTGGGTGATTGGTGTCTTCTTGCCCAGCTTGCAGATGAACAGTTCAAATTTATTTGTAATTTAATGAGTGTTTGCTACAGAAGAAAGGTCGTAGTTAATTAAACCGGTAAGAGCGTGAGGACAAGACCTGAGAGAACCCGCCACTGACGCTGTGGAAATCTGGCCTGTGGAGATGAACTGGCATGAGGCACAACACCGAGGGTGCATGCTGGCATGTGCGCCATCTTGGTGTCATAGACCCGAGCCCAGACACACATGCACCTGCCTATAAACACACTTCCATATACGTGTATGTGATCTTTCATGAGCAGAAAATGAGATCCCTCTCTGCCTCCTGTATGTCACTCTTCTCTCTGGAAGTCTGTCCATTTTTGCTTCTCCCCAGCCTTTTCTGATTATCCAGATTCATTGGTCAAGCTACATTCACCATGCGCCTTCCAGGGAAACTTCCTTTCTTCTCCCATCGGGAGATTTCTTCTCCCTCCTCCTTTGCTCTCTCCTGGTGCTATTTCCTTTCTCTTAGGAGTGGTTCACATTTTCTTTATTGTACGTGTTAGCCATGCCTTCTACAAACACCCTAAGGATGGCCCCAAATATACCAATTCTCTCCATGTTAGTAGACACAAAAGAGACTCAGAGGTGAGCCAAGTCCTCGGGAGAGAGATGAAGGAAGAGCTCACTGCACTGAAGGTACAAACAGCTCTCCAAAGAAGAAACGCCAGTGAGTGTGAAACATTTAAAAAAATATATTCAACTTGTCCGATAACCCAAAAAATCAGAATTAAGATAAGAAGATGAAAAAGAAGAATAACAAGCTCGAAAAGAAATCTCAAACACTGTTAGAGAGAATGGAATTCGGTAAAACTATCTTTGGAAAGCAATTTGGAAATATGTGTTAAACATATTTACAGGCACGTTAAATATTAAAAATAGCAAATATTTAAAACTTTTGATCTCATAGCTTTTCTTCTAGGAATATGTCCAAAGGAAATAAGTGGTTTAGTCATGTCTATATATGTGCTGGAGGTTTGGGGTAGAATTCAGTGGACTCAGAGCAAAGGGTCAGGCCCTGGTACATTATCCCCGCGTTATATTGCTTAATAATCCCAATGGCTCTCGACCCCACTGCTCATCAGCGTCACCTGGGAGCTTGAAATATCCCTGATGTTCAGGAAGGATGTTCCACTAACTGAACCACAGTCTCTGAGAGTGGGGACCATATTCTTACATGCTCTCCTGGTCATTCTAATGTGCGGTCAGGGTTAAGAACCATTGGGTTTTAGCGATGAACTGGATCATATATTCTTGCAACTGGTTTCAAATTATTCACCTCTTGGGCTCCAAGTTTAAAAAAGGCTGGGAAAGGTGAGGCAACATGACTTCAGCAACCGTCGCTTCCTTGCTGCACTGTTGGCATTAGGCTCACTCAGCCTGTTCCCTCAGGGGACGGAAGTCCTGGAGAAAGGACAGGAGGACACAGAGAAGAGGATGGATGAGGCTGTGCTTTCATAAGGCTCAGGTTCTACTGAGGAGAGAAAGAAATGGAGTGGAGGGAGAGGAGGGGAGGAAGAAAGGGGGGGGTGTACAATTCCATCATTAGACGAAGTTGGTTTCAGAGAGTGGAGGATGCTGTGGAGAAAACAGGTTGATGGATGGATGAGTCTGGACTGGGGCTGGGGCTCAGGCAGCCATCAGATGGGGCAGAAGTCCCCCCAGAGGCTGCCATATTTGAGTTAAGACTCATTCAGTGACAAGAAGTTCCAGCCGTGGGAAGAGCAGTAGGAGGGTCCTGAAGGACAGAAGGGCCTGACAGAGGGTCTGGCTAGAGCCAACTGTGTGTGGGGGGGTGAAGTCAGAGAGGTGGGCCTGAGTTGGGACATGCCTAGGGCATAATCTGGAGAAGTTTGGGGGCTATTTTAAAGACAATGGGTGGCCCCTGCTGGGGGGTGGGGTGGGGAAGCCTTGAAACAGAAAAGGCATTTGTGAGCATCTCTGTAGCTGCAGCCCGGGGTGGGATGGGAGGGAGGAAGCCCAGACAGGGACTGTGGGAAGCAGGCAGCGAGTTTCACGCGGCTGCAAGGAGGTGGGGCGTGGATGGAGTCAGGGACCTTTGAAAGCAAAGCCACAGAAGGTTTGGAATCCTTCATGAGGTCGTGCCCATTTCTGTCCATTTTTGCCTTTTATCTTTGCATTTTTTGCTTTTTTGCCTTTCTAAATTATTCTCAGCCAGCTCTACCTGATCTTTGCCTTTTTCCAATAATAAGGGGTTAGTTTAAGAAACCTGAGTGATCACTGTGTTAGGCTTCTCCAGAGAAACAGAACCAATAGAATAAGTGTGTGTGTATATATGTATATAAGTACTGTATGCATATACATATACACACACATATTTATGCACATACATGTTACAAACATATATAAATGTGCTATGAAGGACATTTGTGTGTGTGTATGTGTATGTGTATATATATTTATATATATATAAAATGAGAGAAAGAGAGGGAGAGATTTATTTTAAGGAATTGGTTCACGCTACTGTGGAGGTTTGGTAAATCCAAAATCCGCAAGTAGGCAGGCAGTCTGCTGACAGAATTCTTTCTTGCTCAGAGACAGTCAGTCTTTGTTCTAGTCGGGCCTTCAACTGATTGGACAGGGCCCACCCACATTATGGAGGGCAGTCTGGTTTACTCAGAGTCCACCGATTTAAATGTTAATCTCATCCATAAAACACCTGCACAGAAATATCCAGAATAGTGTTTGACCAAATATCTGGGCACTGTGGTGCAGCCAAGTTGACACATTAAATTAACCATTACAATCATCGCAAGGAATTGTTATGGGTCTTTTATTGCTTGCATATTTTTATTACTTTTTGAAATAAAAAATATATGCTCATCATAAAAAGTCAGAACATACAACAAGAAAGAGAAAACCGAAAGTAACATCCATTATCCACTCCTCTGAGACACCCACTATGAACACGTGGGAAGATATCTTTTTGGCTCTTTTTCTATTCATATGACGGTATAAAATATTTTTTAAGCAAAACAGGACCACCCTGGAAAGCACCGCGGTTTATTTCCGCAACAATCCTGGCTTCTGGATTTTCTACAGTTGGTTTCTTGTTGAGCTTTCAAGCGGTCCTACGTTTTTCAAACAACTCAGAGCAGAAATTCACCGGCGGAAAGTGAGTTCTGATGAAAAAGCGAATCTGTTAGGCTTTTCTCCATATTCTGGAAAGAGTGCTTAAAAGTGCTTAAAGACACAAAAAAGGTTGCAAAGTCATCTCAGAGTTTAACAAAATTATCAGTACTCACAAAACCCACAACTGCATCGTTTTTGTTAAGCTTTTGGGTCCCCAGTTTGCTTTCATCAAATGGCTTTAAGGGGAATTGCTGAAGCGTGATCTGGGGTTGAGAGCCCGAACAAGACGCGCCCGCTGGTGGAAGAGGCCTTTATTTTTATGAGACTCAGATTTAACAGCCAATAATTTAAAATATAAACAAAGGAGGGAATAAATAATGGTGAGGCTGAGTTTTCAGTCCTGCTTGTTTTCAAGAAACTCTACTTGTATCCACACTCCCCGTCCTGTGTTAGGAGGAGACATGGGGACCCCCATCCCAGGCTTGGCGTTTGCCGTTGATTTCCAAAACGAGACTTTCTCAGGTGCCTGGAATTCCCTGCCTGTTGTCCTGTCACCATCTCTCTCCTCACTGAGCAGAAGGATGAATGTGATATTCACTCAAATTTGCCACCAGGTGGGTTGAAGAACTAAAACGGAAGAGATTTTTGGAGCCTGGGGATGTTAGGGGGCATGGACCATGGCGGGCTCCCAGCTGGCCTCCCTGCTGCCATCTTGTTTCTGCCCCAGTAATTTCTCCTTGCAGCAGACATGGTGACTCAGATCTTCTCTCTTAAATCTCTCTGAGAGCTTCTTGTTGCAATGAGAATGAAGTCTAAACACCTTCCTGGGGACTACGTAACACAGATGATCCAACACGCTCTCTCCCTCCCACATCATGGTGTAGGGTTCTCCTCTTGCTCATTTTGTTTCAGTCACAACAGCTAGACTGGTTCTGCCCCAGGACATTGGCTCTGCTTTCTTCTCCCCTGAGAGGCTCCTTTAAGTCTCAGCTGAAATATCCCTTCCTGGGGAGGAATCTTCCGGTATCATCACTAAAGTAACTGCTGCTTCCTCCCCACCCATTACCATGGTGTTTTTCCTTCATAGCATCATAACCATCTGGAATGATCTTGTTGAGTTTTCATTAATGTGTTTGCTGTGTGATACTCTCACTGGAATCTGAGCTCTGCCCCTAGTACTGGAGACACAATGGGAACTCAATAAGTCATGAGACTTCCATGTCTTCAGAACATCATGGATTCATCTGAAAGCTGGGAAGCTTCCCCCAGGATCCTGCCCTTGGTGGGAAGGAGTAGAAAATCGTGTAATCTCATTCATAGATCAGAACTGATGGAGCAGGAAGTGGGGCTGGATTACCCCACACAGCTGAGATGTACTTGCTGCTACTTACTTATTTCAGGAATTATTAAGAAATTATGGAGCATTCTTTTAGGAAATTGATGCTTAAAGATACCTACAGTGGGGGCCTGCCCCATGGCCGAGTGGTTAAAGTTCTGCATACTCTGCTTTGGTGGCCCAGGGTTCATGAGTTTGATCCTGGATGCAGACCTACACATCACTCATCAGTCATGCTGTGGAGGCATCTCACATACGAAATAGAGGAAGACTGACATAGATGTTAGCTCAGGGCAAATCTTCTTCACCAAAAACAAGAATCAAAAAACCTACAATCGATTCTCATTATTTGCGATATTCACATTCTATAAAGACTGTGCAAACACTAAATTAGTGAAGACCGAAGTGATGCTCTGGGGTAATACAGGGTTAGGTTCCTGCAAGTCTCTGGTCATAATATTTTCGCAAGAATCAACACGTAACCTTGTTTCATGTGTGTTTCTGTTTAAGGACGCCTTATTTAATATGTATGTTGATTTCTTAACATTGAACTCACGGCCAATGGCACTGAAACTCGTGCCTGAACAAAGCTTCTCTAACACACGTATTTTTTCCATAAGGCACATTGCAGCCTTTTTGTACTTAGGAGTATTAGACAGCACTTCAGCACAACACTTGGGGACCATTTTAAACAGCAAATAACACCAAAATGAGAAAAACATGACATGAAATAGACCACGAAAATGACACTTGTCCTCAGTAGATGCTGAAACAAGAAGAGAGAGTCACCTTGTCTGATCCCAGTTGGGAATGTGTGCATTGGGTGACAAGTTTTTTGCCGCTCTGCGCATGTCCATGAATGACTGTGAAAGGACCCTGGGTATTGATGTGGGGGTTATAAATAAATTTTAGCAAGTAGGCAAGTTGGCAAATATGGACACTGCAAATAACGGGGATCAATGGTAAAGGTAGGTCATTAGAAGCAACGTCTACCTTGGGGTTAGGACACATATACTCTGGTTCCATTTTCTCATGAACAGATTGTCTGCCTTTGGTAAAGCACTTCTTCCTCTGGTCTTCAGAATGAGGGCATAGAAACAGGGGATTGCAAAGACAGTTTATAGTTTTAATGGTGGAAGCTTCTGTAACTTTTTCTCGTTGTTCAGGGAGAAACATGTCTAGCATTGTGAACTTCAGAAACACATCTTTGGCAAACTGATGCTTTGTTTTCATGAAGGTCAACGTCCTGGATGAAGACAGCTTGAGCATGGATATAGTGTTCAGCATTCGAGAGACGACGTGCAGGAGGGATTCTGGAGAAGACCCTGCTACCTGTGACTTCCAGAGGGGCTACTATGTGGTAAGTGTGGTGGGAAAGGCACCGAAGTGGAGAAGTGCCTATCTTCTTCCACGACCTTGAGTTGATTCAAAGTCACGCCGAGAGCTTGGCCACTGCCTGGCATCCGGCCACACTGGGAGGCGCCACTGACTGTGGCCACACTGTGTTCCCGGGCTGGGGCAGAGAGACTCAGTGGTTAAGGACTTGAGCTCTGGAGCCCATGGTCCTGAGCAATCTTGGCAAATTATTGAACCTCTCTTGCCTCAATTTCCTGCTCTTCAAAATGGGGATAATGATGGTTCCAGACAAAGGCAATACAAAGAGGTCAATACCAAAGAAAAATCCCAGAGACATTGTGTTCTATTTTAAGTGAATTTAAAACACCAACTGTGTTCCTGGTGTGAGTGGTGTTATTTTGTAGTTGACAGTTAGGTAATATCTGTTAAAGCCCGCCCCCCCCCCCCGCCAAGCCTGGGCTCCATTGGGTCAGGACCATGGCACGTTCATTTGGGTATCTTCAGTGACCACAACATAGTCCAACAGTTGGTTAAGTCCAGCCTCAACAGGCTGGCACCATCAACCCCAGATTTGCTTGCCAAGGTGTTTACATTAAGACGGAGGAGTTCTCAAGGTTTTGTTACTTTATCAGTTTGGTTAGGAAGGGTCGCTTCGCAACAATGTAAATTCTGAAAGGGGGGTGCTTTGCTCTGTTTTCTCCATGAAACTTTTCTCTGCGACTCTGTTTTACAAAGGACCCAAATCCAAGGGTCACAAGCATCTGTTTCTAACGAAATCTGAGGCCAAAGGCAAGGAGAGCAAAGTCCTATGGGTTCTTCTTGTTTCTTTTTGTTCGAAGGGGAAATGATCCAAGGCAGCCCACTCAGTGCTCACAAAGGGAACCTTTGCTACACCCCCCACCCCCGCACCCCCCCCTGCCCCGGGGACCCATAATGTATCAAGTGCCTAAGAGATATTTAAATATTTCATTTGTTTCTGCTTAGGTCTTAAGAAATTTTCAATTTGGGAAAATCGAAATGCCTCTGTGAATTCTTCCAATCTGTCTGCATCATTTTGTCAAACTCTACAGTATTGCCTTGTCTCTTGCCCTTTCTGTAGGCTGCTGAAGATATAACTCATGGTTTTGCCTTTTCCAGCCAGCAGCAGTTTGCAGAAGCACTGTGTGGGTATCCGCCCAGCAGGTGCAGGACGTGTGGGTTCGCTGTAGCTGGTCCTCCAGCTCCGAGTCTAGCAGCAGCGAAGAGGTATGACCAGGGGCTTGGTGTCCTCCAGGACAGCACCTCTTAGGGGCTGTGACAAGCAGACTGGTGTGATAGACTAGGGGAACATCACCCAGGCATGGGCAAGCCCAGCTCGGCGTATTCAACTGCATTCTCTCTTTAACCCCTACAATCTCGTTTTCAATATCCCTTACTTCTTCCAGCCTAATCTTTCACTTTCTCTGTCCCTCTCTCTGTTTCCCTGAGATTAGGGAAAGAGAGCTTAAAGTACCAATTAGCAAATCTTCAAAGTCTTAGATCTAAGTATGTGGCTCATTGGCATTGTGGTTTAGTGGAGCGAAGAGGGGCATTTTTGTTGGACCCATGTTCAAAACTGTTTACCGGCTCTGCAGCTGAGGTCAGGATGCTCAGCCTTCAGGGTCTGCAGCTTCTTCCTCTGTTAAATGCCAGGAATAAAGACCACCTGACAGATTGTTGAGAGAATTGAGTAAGTTGATGGCCATGAAAGATCTGATTCAGCATCTGGTACCTAACAGATGCTCAGGGAATGGCTGGACACGTCTTTTCTCCTGCAATTGAAATTGATTTGTGATCATACTGTAAAATTAATGGTATAAGTTTCTGACTTAAAGTTATGTTACATATGTATTTGTCTGTCTGTTTATTGATTGCTTTCCTTACTAGAATATATGACTCATGAGGATGGGGAATCTGTTTTTGTCAGTCTAGGACAATGTTCGATGCAGAGTGGATGCTTGGTAAATACTTGTTGAATGAATACAAGAAAACTGAGGAATAAATGGTCAAGGGCAAATATGAGGAAGGAGCCTCTTGACTCTAATAGGAATAAAAACATAGCTGTTACATTATTTGTTTATTCATAATGCAATAACATTCTTGACAGGTATTTTTTAAATATTTCTACCATTATACCCCGAATCTGTCCAACAACCTCCTTCTCTACTCATGTTTTTATTCAGGTTTTCAAGATTTAATTCTGTAGTGAAAATAACATTATAAGACTGTACCATTTCAACTTCAAGAATTATACATAAAAGTTGATAATCCCATATTATTAACACGTCCACGCCCTAAATATTTTGTATAGGAGTCCATTATAGAATTAGGGAGCACTGAAACTAGTGACCGAGGAGCTCCTGTATAAGGGATGGTTTCATTGCTGGAAAGAGAACTCTGCACATGTTTTTAGGACTTTCTCCACACAGTGTTCCCTTGAGCATCTCCTCATTGCTCGATCTTGTTCACACTGGCAGCTTTTGAGAATCATCCCCAGGTGATTTCCCCAGGATCCTATTTTCTTGGTCCTAGGCCAGTACCAAGGGCCTCCTGTTCCAGACTCTGCTGAAGAATCTAGGAAACCAAATATGTTTCACAGCTAACACACTCACACGCTCGTGGCCCAGCAATGACAGGGACCAAGCATATCATTTCACAAGCATTTTGTTTGTGTTGATTTTGTGGTTTATATGGGAAAACCTAGGGAGGCAGTGAGGAGCAAGACAAGAAAAGTCCCGGCCCTGGTGGAGTTTATAACTGAGTCTGGGGGACGTCTGTTAAACAGGGGTTGCTCTGGCTACAGGCAAGCATGTCGGAGCATGTGGGGAAAAGATGGAATATCGTGTGGGAGGCAAACAGAACTTCCCTGGGGAACTGAGCTCGAACCAAGAATTAGGGGGTGGGTGGACATCAGGACAAAGGCACAGGGTGTAAGGGTGAGGGAGGAAAAGAGATTTCAAGCTCAGGGGAGATCATATAGGAGTACCCGAAAGTGTGAGAGAAGCTGGAGGGTTGAAATAGACAGAAATCCATTGACTGGAATGAGCAAAACATGGAGGGAGAGAGGGATGGGGCTGGAAAGGAACAACAGCCAGGTCAAGATGGACCTCTTGGGTCACGTCAAGGATCCCTGGCTTGATCCTAATGGCAATGGGACTATTGAAGGATTCTAAGTAGGATGGTGACAGAATAGATGAAGAATAGATTGGAACTACGTCAGAGTAGATGGGGGTGCCAGGAGGCTGGCAGGACAGGTGAGATAGAGTGCTAACTGGAACTAGGAGTTGGTGGTGAGTGTTGAGAGAAATGGATTCTGGTTCAGTCTATGACCTTTAACACAACTGAAATTAATTAATAAATGGCCCCCTAATTTAACCTCTTTTTCATGGCTGATTTGGGAAGTTGGTTCTGATCGTTTGTGCAACCCGCAAATCTGTTGCAACTCTCTAATTGCACAGCGAAGACCACTCATTATTCTTCCAACCTCAACCTTTGTAAGAAGACTGACACTAAGTTAACTTAGCCCCCGAAACAAACAAGAGTATAAAATAAACTCCCAGTTTGCTTTTCCTCAAAGATTAGGAGATCGTAAAGAATTAGGAAAAAATAAAAAAAGAGAATTCCTTAAAGAATTCTGCAATTCAGAAGAAAGAAAAGAAAACAGATGGAGATATAAAGTAACTCCTGGAAACTCTAAAATAGATTTCTTACATGAAACAGAAAAAGAAGTTAGAAAACAGCTGTTAACTATTTTCAAGTGAAATAAATAGTGATATTACAGACATGAAAGACCACATAGACTAGGATGAATCTAGACATAGAACAAATAAATCATTGTTGGAAGGAGGAAATAGAAGAAATAAAACTGAAAAAAAAAAATCCCCGAGTAATGAAAATAAAGATCACTTGAAAAACATATGTAGAATATAGATGAATTTCCAGAGAAAGAAATATAGTATAAAGAAAAATGGAAGTCATGGAGAATAAGACCAAAAATCCCAATTATGACGAATAAGGACTTAGATCAAATGGAAACTATCTGGTGAGGATATAATGAGAGAAACTGTCTTGAATATAAGAAGTTTGGGTTTTCCCCCACATAATTTTAAAGAGTATAAAAGCTGTAAAGAAATTCAAGAAAATAAATTTCCAAATTTGCTGATATTTTCCTCTCCTTAACCAAATAGGTATTTGAATTATGGGTCATTTTTATTTTTTTCATTTTGAACGTGAAATGCGTAGAGGATAAAATGTTTCTGTATGTGCAGTCAACCACACAATGGAGCCATCGCCATCAAGAGTGTAGTCCTAACACTGCAGGGGGATGAGTGACCTTGACTTTAGACAAATCTTTCTGATTTGGGGTGGGTGGCATGAGGTTTGACTAGGGTTTCAGCCAAGAGACACAAAACAGTCCAAAAGGGAGACACCGAGGAAGAATAACTCAACAGGAATTCTGAGCTCAGGCGAGCAGAGGCGACAGTCGTTTCATTTATTGACTGTCTTTCATTTCAAGAGATAGAAATTCAACTAGAAGCAGCCTCAGTCAAAAGGAATATTTCCTTGGATCATATTCCCAGACTGGAAAGGAAAGAGTTGACCTCACGGACATGTCAGCTTAGTCCTTCAACACTATCTGTGCCACATTCATTTCCTCCTCTCCTCTGTCTCCCCCTTCCCCACTCCTCTCTCTACCTTAACTGCAGTCGAGCTTTCTTCCTGTAGCAGGAAGCAGAGCTACAAGCGACTCCAGATTCTATCCTCTAAACTTAGGAGGAAGAGGGAGCATTTCTCTCCAGCTCCACTGGAGATAACTCTTGGCTTTACTTCCATCAGCCTGACTTATGTCATGTGTCCCCTCCTCTATTTTTTTTTTGAAGACGATTGGACCTGAGCTAACATCCGTGCCCATCTTCCTCTACTTTATATGTGGGACGCCTGCCACAGCATGGCTTGCTAAGTGATGTGTAAGGTCCGTGCTTAGGATCGGAACTGGGGAACCTTGGGCCACTGAAGCAGAGCCTGTGAACTTCACTGCTGTGCCACCAGGCTGACCCCCCTCTTCTTTTTAAAATAACACCTTTATTGAGATATAATTCACGTACTACACAATTCACACTTTCCACGTGTACAGTTCAGTGGATTTTAGTGTATTCGTAAGGTTGTACAACCATCTCCACTGTCTAAATCCAGAACATTTTCATCATCTCCAAAAGTAACCTCATCCCCATTAGCAGTCATTTTCTATTCCTCATTCTCCTCAGCCCCCCTCAACCACTAATCTACTTTCTGTGCCTCTGGATTTGCCTATTTTGACCGTTTCATATAAGCAGAATCATACAAGACGGTTTTTTTTATGACTGGTTTATTTCACTTAGGATAATGTTTTGGAGGCTCCTACTTGTTGTAGCATGTTAGTACTCGGTTCCTTTTCATTGTCGAATAATATTCTATTGTATGGTGGGACTATGTTTGGTTTATCCCTTCATTAGTTGATCAACATTTGTGTTATGTCCCCATTTTGTCTATTGTAAATGATGGTGCTGTCAGCATTCATGTGCAAGGTTTTGTGTGGAGAAATGTTTTTATCTGGACTTTCAGTGGCTTCATGAAGACCAGCTGTGCACACCTAAACTGAACGCGTTATAGGGAGAACACTCCAAAATTTGACCTAAACGCAGTCTATTTGCAAGTCCATTTAACATTTCTGTCTTTCTGGCCCCCAACATTTGGGAGTAATTTTGAGTCTAGTGGAAAGCTTTTTGGTCGATTTAAATGATGTAAATTATTCTTACCCACATGCTTTATTAGACATATATGTTTGATACCATATAAGGTGATTTAATATAGAATACTGTCTTTAATTTCATTAATAATACACCTGAGTCCTTCAGATAATATCTGCATTTTTTACACGGTCTCTTCTTTTTCTCTCTTTCATGTGCTGATACATACTGATGTCTAAACTTACTTAGTTCATTTTTGGGGACACATTGGGATCCTCTAAATGGAGAAAGAATTATCTGCTTGGTAAGCTGAAATCTGTTCTTTTTAACGTTTCTTTCTTGAAACAACTTCATATTAAAGCTTGCTGTTAGTGAGTCATTTAAAACTAGAAATATCTACACATAACCTTTGAACAGTTACAGTAATTCCAGGAAATAAATAGTTTCTTCTATTTTTCGTTCTCTTCTTAACACTAGGCCATAGCAATACAACTTTTCATTTAGATATCCCTTTATGTTTGTTCAGAGATTTTCCATACATGACGACCCCAACATCTCTGCCAATAAGGCAGAGATGATGTTGGTTTTCACCTTGAGAGGGTCCCCAGACTTGAACATGCTTGTTCCCTCCTGGGTGCATGACTGAAGTGGGGGGTCCAGGTATGCAATGATGTGTAGCTGGGCGGATCTAGACCAAACCTCCTCTGACTGGATGGGGCTGAATTCTGTGATCCTCCAGCTATGTGACTAAAACTGACCATCACTTCAAGGGTCTTAGTTGAGGGAGGGAGGGCTCACCTTTTTCCTTCTTGTGTGGCTTCCCCATTAAAGTGGGATTGGTCAGTGTCCTGTGGCTTAGAGAACATTCTTTCATTTCTGAGGCTTTTTCCTGTTGGTGCTGATGGCGGCCAAACTCTTTGGTGATCTCCCACTGCTTCCTTGCTTAAGAGGCATATTTGGGGCATCAGTAATAAAATCACAGACCATTCCAGAAGTGGTCAAAGGGGCCTTGCCTTATGGCTGTTACTGTGTTACAGGTCTCATTCCTGACAAATTCAGAAATGAACAATTTTATGAACGGTCACTGGGTGATGGCCCTATTTTCTTCCATAGGACACCAAGAGATCATTTTCTGATCAAGCTGGACTCTGTTGAAGCCATTTCATAGAGATAAACCTATGAAATACAAAATATTTTAACTGAAAATGAAAAGAACAGTACTGCATAAACTTGCTTTGCAAAGGCTGGTCTGGTGGTGTAGTGGTTGGGTTTGCATGCTCTGCTCTGGCGGCCCGGGGTTTGCAGGTTCGCACCCCAGTGGGAACCTATACACTGCTCGTCAGGGACAATGCTGTGGTAGGGTCCTATATGCAGAGCGGAGGAAGATTCCCACAGATGTTAGCTCAGGGACAATCTTCCTCACACACAAAAAAGAAAAAAGTAAGCTTGAGGCATTAAAACTCACTTAAAAATTAGCAGGATTAAAAATGTCACATTTGGCTCAAGAAATCAGCATTGACCTTTTCTCCTGCCCCACTTTGGGTGTTTTCTGAAAAGCCCAACTTGATCTCCTTTTTGCCCTCCCCCCTCAACGGTACTTTGCAGGAAGCAGACAAAATTAACACTCACGCAATTCCTCCCTTTTACAGATCAATTTTCTCATTTAATCCTCATGATAGCTCTGTAGACAACGTGTATTACCTGCTCCCATAGAATAAAGGAGGAATAACTCATGGCGTTAACTGTATACAAAAAATCATCTGTGCTAGTTGCTTGACAGAATTTTCTCCTTCAACCTTCACGACCATTCTGTGAGGTGGCACTGGGTTCCTTCCCATTTTATAGATGAGCAAACTGAGGTTACCGAGTTTCGGAAACTTGTCCAAGGCTATGCTGCCAACGGAGAACTTTGATCCCGGTCGTGAGTGGCAGAAACAAGGCTTTGATACGGATCTCTCCGAGGCTAAAACCTCTGTTTTTTCCATCCTGTTTTCCAAGAGAATTGTGAAATTCCTATTTCAGAGTTCATTAAAATGAATAACATGGATATTAATATTTCCTTGAGCTCAGTGTCTGATCCTCATTAGGCATGCTCCAATTTATTTGAAGTGCTAGGACTTACAACCTGAGGCTTGATTTAAGAAAAAAACTCCTAAGTTTTAAACCTCCTCCAACTTGTCACTTTGGGGGAATATACAGTTATTCTAACAAGGGGACCACCGCTGAGAACATTTTTTGAACATTTCTTTTAGAATTGCCTTCAGAATCTATGGCCCGTTCTTTTGAATCCCTGTAGTGGTGGAAGATATTTGTCCTCTGATTTGGTTTTGGAAATAGCCAAAAGCCATCTGGAAATAAATGTGATTAATTAGATTAATAACCAACTTGGGTGCATTAGTTATCTATTGCTCTGTGTCAAATTATCCCAAAATTTAGCAGCTTAAAACAACAAATGTTTATTACCTCAAAGTTTCTGAGGGTCAGGAACCCAGAAACAGCTTGGTTGGGTTTTTCTGGATCAAGGTCTCTGACAAGGTTGCAGATGTGCAGACGAGATGTACACTGGGGCTGTGATCTCATCTGAAGTCTTGACTGGGGCTGAAGGATCCACTTCACATGTTACTCACATGGCTATTGGCAGGCCCCAGTTCTTCATGGGCTCTTGGACTGATGGCTTCAGTTTCTCCCTCTCCACAGGGCTGTCTGGATGTCCTTAAAATATGACAGCTGCCTTCCCTGAGAGAAAATGACGAGAGAGAGGGAAAGAGAGAGAGAGAATGAGCAAGCAACAGAGCACCCAAGACAGAAGCCACAGTCTTTTATCACCTAATTTCAGACATGATATATCATGACTTCTACATATCTAATTTAATTTAAATTTATGCTCTTTTGGTGAGGAAGATTGGCCCTGAGCTAACATGTATTGCCAATATTCCTCTTCTTTTTTTTTTCTTTTTTCTCCCTGAAGTCCCAGTACATAGTGGTATATTCTAGTTGTAGGTCCTTCTAGTTCTTCTCTGTGGGACACCGCCACAACACGGCTTGATGAGTGGTGCATAGGTCCACACCCAGGATCTGGACCAACAAACTCTGGGCCACTGAAGCAGAGTGCACAAACTTAACCACTAGGCCATGGGGCCAACCCCATTCTGCGTATTTTATTAATCACACAGACCAACTCTGGTCCAATGTGGGAGGGGCAATACTCAAGAGTGTGAATGCCATGAGGCCATCTTGGAGGCTGGCTACTGCATGGGGAGAATTGGGACAAGAAAATGTTATAAGGATATAAATTAACGGGACTGATCCTTTTTCTATGCCTCAGAAGATAATTCAGAGCTAAATTCTAAAAACATTTTGGGCCTTGGGAACATCGTTGACAGAGATGTGATGCAGCCATCTCAGAGACTGCTTTGAACATGACAATTTAATTTAATTCAACAAACGTGTGTCACAAGCACTGGGCAGACCCCATGGAGGACCGAAAGATAAATGTGACAGTCCCTGCCCTCGAGGGCTTACAGTGGAGGCTGAGACAGAGCACACATGGAGAGAAATAAGCATGGGATGGAGCTAGACACCACGCAAGAGGGAGTGAGGAGAGCTCGATAAGGGGGATGAAGTTACCACATTCTCGGGTTTTCTCTCAGCAGTGTGGCTTCTGGTCATGCTAGTCACAGTCCTTCTCATTAATTTGTAGTCACATAGTCCACGTTGTCTTAGGTCTTGATGTAAGTGACAGAGTCTATACATTCCCTTCCTACCTTTAGAGATCATGAGAAGGATCTCTCCTCCTGGAAATAGAAGGAACCGAACCAACGGGACAGAGTGAGAATAAACACTGGCTTTGAGTGACAGCCTTGAGGTAAGGGAACACAGGTAAAAGCATGTGTATTTAGAAATAGAAGCTACTTGGAGTGAGTGCCCTGAAATGACTTCTCTCACACCTCTACTATGCTATGCAGCCTGCCTCCTTGCCTTTCCACCACCTCCTGTCTCTTCCCAGATGCCCTTCCTCAGTTGTCTCCTCAGTCTTATGCAGCCTCGATCTTTTCCCCGTGGCTTTTGCATTTGTTGCCACTGATGTGATCGAGTTTCTCCATCTTAAGAGCTAACAAACAGAACGGCCACTTCCTCTGATGCGGTCTCTCCATCCCAGCACCGCCTTCCCCCGCCCTCCCTTCTCTGAGAAGCCCATTGACATAATTGTGGTCTGCGGCTGCAGCCTCAGCCTCTTCACCTCCCATTTACTTTTCTGCTTTTTGTCAACCAGATTTTAATCTTTCAAATCCATGAAATCTGATCTGCCTTCCTTTTCTTGATCAATAATTTAAATACTGGTGACTCCTTGTATTATCTCCTTAACCCAATTCATTTCTTCTTCTATAGATTACTCCGTCATCTCTCCCACTTGCTTGACTTTATCAATGATGTGCAATTACTTTCAAATATGCACGTCTTAGCACACTCTATCCTGAGATCTAGGTCCTTATTTCTACTGCCCACTGGGTGCACTTGCTGTGGATACCACGTGAGCTCCTGAAGCTCAGCCAGCCTCCTCTGCAGCTCCCTTTCTTAATTGAAGGCATCATCATCCACCTAATTTTCTCAAGCTCAAAATTTTAGAGCATCATTGACTCTTCTTTACGCTTTGTCTTCTCCTAACATCCACAGGGGTCTGGTCTTAGTGATTTCATCCACACATTTTCTCCGGCGTTGGCCCGTGACTTCATTACCATCACCACTGAACTGTTGCTTGCATTTCTTGCCTCAGGTCCTGATCCCACGCTGTCCACCCTGCACGCTGTCCTCAGGTTTATCTTGAAACACAGAGGAGACTCTGATCCTTCTCCACTTATGCTCTCTAATGCCCGCTTCACTTATGGGATAAAGCAGAGGTGTGTGAAAGGGAGACACTGAGCCGGGGACAGCCCATTTGCCCCCACTGCTGTGGGAAGCTGGTGACTGAGCCTCGGTCTTCCAAACACTCACAGCGTCACTGAGTCTCACGGGTGTATGAATTCCCAGCTACCAAGGATTGGAGCAAATGTAGCTATGTGATTTTAAAGGCTCCCAAGTGGTAAAGGCACATCACGAAGGGCAGATGTAAAAGAAATCTTCACCTGCAGTTATAGAGATTGATCCCGTGTACATTCATTTTTGCACACACACACACAAGTTAATAATAAAGCTTGAGCTTTCATGGACTTTCCGGTTTACATAACACTGTATGCCTTCAGGATAAAGTCCGAGCTCCCTAGAGTGGCCCACAAAAGCCTTGGTGATCCGGTCCCTCCCACCTCTCTAGCCAATCTGTCCCAAGTCTGCTTAGCCCCTAAGCTCCTGCAGGACTAAAATACTTGCCCTTCCTCCTGCTGTGACCTTCACCTGGTCAACCACCTGGCTAATTCCTCCTCACCATTCAGGTCTCTGCTCAGTGTCACTTCCCTTGCGATGTCACCTCTGACCCACTCCCAAGTCAGAGATATGTCCCTTTATGGGCCTCCCTAGTGTCCTCATGCCAGGACACTGCAATTGCTGTCTCTGCTCTGCCCATCTGGCTCCACTAGCCTCCCCAGGCACAGGGCTCAGGGAACTTCGTTTGCCATCGTCTCCCAGTGCCCTGCACAGAGCCTGACACGCAGCAAGCAGTCAGCAAATATTTTTTGAGCAGATGACAGAATCCTTTGCTTTGGGTTCTGGAGATTCTCTCATCAAAAAAAATCAGCTAAGCATAGTATAATTAATTTTCAACCACTGGAATCTGAAAGAAGTCAACTGACATTTTACTAAAATAGAAGGAAAATTTACCAGTGAGGCCATATTGAATGAAAGATGCAAATGGTAGGTTTTCTTTTTAATCTCTGTGCGTCCTAAAAATAAAACCCAGCTTCACACTGAGATCAAGAAATTGCTCCATATGAAGACAAAGATGCATCATCTTCCTTTTTTATAAATTTAAATCATTTCTTTTTGCTTCGCAGAGCATCCTCAGGGGGGAAAAATAGAATTCTCAATGAATTGGTTTTATTTTATTTATTAATAACATGATTATATTGGGTGTGTACCCATATATGTATTGCAATATGAATTCGTGATCTGATTTCTATAAATAAATTGATCACTTAAAAAATGTCTCTTTAAGGGAGCATAGACAAAGGGCCACACACTGCTGCCCTGGCCTGGACATTGCCTTGGACCTAAGTCCCAGTTCTGACCCTGCCCTCTCATGACGTTCAGCAGGGAGATTTCCACCCTGTGCTCCGAGTTTCCTAGAGTCATAAGATGAGTCTAGTAAGGCCAGGACAGGGTCCAGTGAGGAGGCAGATCCACTGGCTGGAATCAGCTGGCCTGGCTCCGCGTCTGCTCTGTCGCTTGTGAGCTTCGAGACAGTGATCCAGCCCCTTAACCTCTCAGGCTCAGTTCCTTCAAAGGTTTATTATTATTTTTTTACTTGTTTTCTCCCTGTTAGCCCATGATCTCCTTGAGGATGGATGACCTTGTCATCCTTATTAATTATTTTAAGGTCATGATGCTAAGAACAGTGTCTAGACTATAATAAGGGTTCAATCAGGCTGGAAGGAATGAGTGAATGCATGACAAAAATCAGGATGACTTTTTTCAAATTGTGAATGACCTTTTTCTGTGGGGGAGCTTCCTGAAGGCACAGACTTAGGCTCATAGAGCACAGAATCCTCAGAGCCTGCCTCAGTTTCTGCAATCAACTAGGAGCTGAGTGCTTTTGTGATTTAGTAAATACTGTTCCAGGATTCTTTCAGGTTGCTAGAAGATCATTCCATACATAGGAGTGGATAGTGAAAGGTGATGCAGTCATGTGCCGCTTAACGACGGGGACAAATTCTGGGAAATGCATTGTTAGGCAATTTCGTTGTTGTGCGAACGTCACAGAGCGTACTTACACAAACTTAGATGGTACAGCCTACTACACACCTGGGTTACATGGTACCAGTCCTATGGGCCCACTGTCGTATATTTGGTCTGTTGTTGGAAAAACCATTATGTGGCATGTGACTGTATTTCAACAAAGAGCTCTGAATTTTGTTCTTATTTGCTAATCTAAAATAGGAACTATGGAAAATCAGGTCCCAACTCTCACATTGAAAGCAATCTATTTGAAAGTCTCGCGCTTTCTTGATTTTACAGCTGGAAGAGTTCTGCCTTTTTCATTACGTCATAGCCAGAAGACCACACACCACACGGAGTGCACCCAAACCACCACAGGGCAAGGGGTTCACTTTTCCCTACATTGCAGCATCCATTAGTGTGGAATTTCTAACCTCTATGCCTAAGAGCAGCAGAGGAGGCAATTCTTAGGCCTTTTGGCCATAACTGCATGGTGAAAGAATCAGTCTCATGATTTTATCGATTTGTTCAACAAGTGTTCATCCAATGCCACTTTGTGCCTGGCCCCTGCACCAGTGAAGATGGGAACTCTCAAGGGTGCCTGGGTCTATGTTTGGACCCTTCACATCCATCGCCTTATGTAAATCTTGCAACAATCCAAATGAGGCTGTCACTATCATCTCTGTTTTGTAGATGAGGAAGCTGAGGTGTTAGAGGCCCTGCTCTCAGAGGGGATGTTGGCACTGAGACTAGCTCTTGATGTCTGTCTGTCTCCAAAGCATCTCTTTTTCTTCCTGGGATATTCTGCCTCATGTCAATATCTCCAAGTTTAGAAAATAGCAAGAGAGGGCAAACCCTCAAAGATTATTTGTCTAAGGTACATTTTTCATGTGTGGAGTGAAGCTGGATATGTAGCAGCCAACTAGAAGGCAAAGACTTTAATTGATGGAAAGGGTTGACAACATGCCTACCTACCAGCAACCACACGGGAGAAGTGAACCTAAAATATGGGGCACTCAGTGAGCTCGCTGAGTGAGTTCCATATTCGGGGATCAAACCCTGCATGTGTCTCTCACCCCTTATCTTTGTTCAAAGAGCTGGCTGCTTGGCATAGTTGCTGTAGTCTCTGGGGCCATCTTGGATTCCTTTTGGAACAGCACCCAGGAATCCTTGGTCCTGCACCTCCATAGTAAGAACGTGAAACGTACGCCATAGGGTCTAATCTTCCCCTTCCTTCTCTCTTTTAACAGCAAAATGCATCCGAAGGAATAGAAGTTCCAAGGAAGAAAGATGTTTTATGAATTGTGTAGTTTTTCTTTCCATGGGTTCCAGTCTTTAATAAAAGTCTTACTTTTCCTCTTTCTTTCATTGCTTGATTTTTTTAAAAAATGAGAGTACTATAAAATTTTTTGATAAAAAGCTATTAACACGAGGAGACTGGTGTTAGCTAAGGATTTTAGGAGTTGAGGACTCACAAAGTGCCCATGTTTTGCATAATTATGTCAAATGTGTGTTTTAGATCAAAACACAATTGTCGTAAGTTCCTTGTCTTAAAAACAAAATCAGCCCCAGGCAGCTCAGTGTCAAGAGTGCTTTTCCTTTTGTGACTCATTTTAATTTTTAAAAAGAAGTCATCTGGTGATTAAGGGATGAGAGGCAATCTCCTCCCCACCAGCAAAATGCCCTCATCACTTCTTTTCCTTTGGATTTCTCAGTCAAGGGATCAACAGCAAAGCTAGCTTAATGTCAAAGCAGATACCTCCAGGAGAGCACCCAAGGACTGTCTGTGTCCCCAAGCCACTTACATAGAAGTGCATCCCAATTTGATGAGATTCCTGGAGCCAGGTCTTTCTTCGGCCAGCCTGCTGTGGGGCTGACCGAGCACGCGCTGGGAGGGTTAGAGGATGTGAGAATCCCCAAACCCAAACGCAGTCCCTCACCAGCAGGCCTGAAACGCTCATCAGTTCCCACGGCTTTCCATGAAGATGTCACGAGCCTCTGAGAACTATTTCTGGATGGATGATACTTTGAGACATTATGGGCCACTTGTTGATTTAAATGTGACTGTTTATTCCTACAGCTTTTAAAGGTCTGACAAAACCAGTCCCTACCTCACCCCTCGTCATCTGTATTTTTCAGAACTTTCCTGGCTATTCCATACATTTATTTTATTTCAACTTTAAAATCAGAAGTCAAGTTAAGAAAAAAATTGTGTTGACATTTTAAATCGAATTAATTCCATTGAATTTGTAGATTAATTTATAAAAAATTGACATCTTTAGCCTTTTGAGTTTTACTCTATAAGAAAAGACACACATGTCCATTTACTCAATCTTTTTTTTGTGTCCCTTATTAGAGTTTAAGAGCTTTTTGTGTGTTTGGCATAGTTCTTTTTAAAATCTGTTTCTTCGTGGTTTTCTTTTTATTGTTATTATAAATGAGAACTTTTGTCGTTATATCTTATAAAACTGACTGAATTGTGTTCGATTTTGGTCTGTCTTCCTACTGAATTCTCATATTGTTTTTAATAGTTTTCAGTTGATATTCCAGAGTATTCCATGTATACAACATAACTTTTCAAATAATATTCCTCCTCCTCTTCATTTTTTGAATATCAGTTCTTCCTTTTTCCTATTTTCTTTGACTATATTCAAACAGGGTTGAGAGCATCATTGTCTTTTTTCCTGCTTAGATAACGTTCAAAGAAGCATTTTCGTGTTTCACCATTAATCACCATACTGGCTTCTGGTTTGATGTTAGGGGTGTTTATATTTTTAATCATATTAACATTGTGTCCATCCTTCCACTAAGAGTTTATAATAGAAATGCATATTGAGCTTTATCAAACATCTTCCAAAATTTGTCTTTTTTTAATTTGAATTTTGAAATTTGGAGTTTGTCTTTCTTTTTTGACAGCAAAATATGATGAATTATGTTAATATATTGCCTATATTGAACCATCTTTGCAATCCTGGAACACTCCACTTGGCTGTGGTTTACTATTCTGTAAATACGCTGTCAGAATCTCGCTGCCCCTGTTCAGGATGTTTATATCAACGTTCCTAGGTTAGGGTGATCTGTAGATTATTTTTGTGCTGTCTTTATCTGGTTTTGGTAACAATGGTGTGAAACCCAAATATCTTCACAGTCTCTGCAATGGCAGCTCCCCCGGCCCACCAACTCCTAACTCCCTGGTTTGATAAAGGAACGTCCGTGGGGGGCAGGTGTGACTTCTTTAGTGGTCAGAACAGGATATTAACCACATATAAAGTAATTTACATATTCTTGTAATTTGCCAATCTCTGAATTCACTATCCTTTTGATGTGGGCTCGGCGAGTCAAGGAGTCGAAAGAAAGATTTCTTGGACTCTCAAGGTCTGGCAGTAGTGCTCCTTTATTCAGAGAATAGCATGGGGACAGGACCCAGGGGCAGTAAGAGCTGCATGCATGGGGACAGGACCCAGGGGCAGTAAGAGCTGCATGCATGGGGACAGGACCCAGGGGCAGTAAGAGCTGCATGCATGGGGACAGGACCCAGGGGCAGTAAGAGCTGCAGGCATGGGGACAGGACCCAGGGGCAGTAAGAGCTGCATGCATGGGGACAGGACCCACGGGCAGTAAGAGCTGCAGGCATGGGGACAGGGCCCATGAGCAGTGAGGGGCTGCAATGTGTTGAGGGTTAGGGCTAAATTTATAAGGCTTGGGTACATGACTTATTTTTACCAGACAAAGGAAAGATGATGTAAAAAGTCATTAAATGGAATCAGTGCAGGTGGGGTCTGGTTATTGTGTGGTCGTATAACTTTAGATATGTATTGGGTCGTATAGATCAGCATGTAGGACAGGACACCGTGGGCTTCTCTACCTGGGGCAGCCTTGATCCACATCACTTTCACAAACATTTTTGCCAACACATTGCTTCCACTTTCTTCTGGAGGGAGAGAATAGTAATAAACCCACATGAGGCCCAAAATGTTCCATCCTTGCTTAGCAATAGTCATTGGCCTTGGGGTCGGAGAATGCTGGGTCGTGCATCTGGCAAAGGAACTGTCTGATTTGCTCTCTAAATGTGTACGTGGGGATTGTGCAAACCAACCCCCTCACTGAACACGCTTACCACCCTCTAGCTCAGCCCATGCCTTCTCCAAGCACGGCTTTCCCCTGGGTGTTAGCAGCCCAGCAGGAAGAGAAACACTCCTAGTGGGGAAGTGGGCTCATCAACTGTTGGCAGCAACGGAGACTTCGAGCAAGATGCAAACTGAGAGCGTGGGACCCACACGCTCTGCACGCTCAGTCCAGGCTGCTTCTAAGAACAAACATGATCTAAGGCCTTCAGGCCAGCATTCAGGTGAGTAATTTTTTGTTAACCCAAGAGGCTTCATGGCTTTTCTTTGAACTGCACACACCTGTCCTCAATGTCCCCTCCCCACTTCCACCTCTATAGAAATCCCAGAGACGACGAACAGTGGCAAACCTCTCCAGCAAAATGTCACTGTGTGCCTTTGAGGCTTGCAGCAGAGCAATTTTGGCCTCTCTCCAGAGGCAGGTGTGACTGGAGCCAACTTGTCTGGAGGGACCTTTTTACCAGGGAATCAGCAGAAACATCAATAAACATCACGATGTTGCTCTATCGGGGGCCCCTGAGAACGTGCGCCCGCCCCTATGGAGGGACTGTGTTTACCTACCTTGTCCCTTCACAGCTTGGATTAAAAATTGCCCAGAGTTCAAATATTTAATGTTCTTCCTTATTTTCCATCCCTGGAATGTCTCTGTGCAGCTTGGCTTGTTGCCAACATGCCGAACATGACACCATTCCTCCCTTGCCCGGGGTACCTGTGCCAGGAAAGCTTTGGGGCTCCCTCAGTCTGAAAATCCACTGGGTCCTCCTCAAGTTTGGGGCAGCTTTCTAGGGTGTTCCGTTTTGTGATGTTTTCCTTTCCAGATTTCAGCAAGAGATTTAAATTTGATCATATGATTAATTTCATACACATTCCACAATATATGGTCTGATTTCTTGGCGACTCTGGGGTATTAGGGGTTCAGGAGAGGTGGGACAGGGGCAAAGTAAGAGTCATTCTACAGAATGTTCTGCACTGCAGAGATGCCAGCTTCTAGCCTTTTCATATGAAGCTCAGATTGGTTAACTCCGAGTTTCTGGACTGCCTTGTTTCTTTTTACCCTATTTTCTTTCCTCTACCGACACCTGTCTCCTCTTTCCCTAGGCAGTGATAGATTCAATGCTTCAGCAACCCAGGGAAGACAAAGCTGAGGATTCTCTATCTTGTTCCACCGTCCTGTGTGTAGAGCTCTGGTTAATGTGAAGAGTAGATTTGAGGGAGGGTGTGCTGGGCTCATGGCAGACGAGTGTGAGTAGGGTGACCAAGAAGCCCAGAGGGGCATCAGCAAGGCCTGCAGCTGTAATGGGCAGGGGTGGGAGCTGGGTGGGTGGGCTTAGGCCCTTGGGACACAAGGAGCCTAGAACACAGTAGGAGCTGGAGCCCCCTGGAGTCTTTCTGGAGGTGATTGGTTAAACTTGTCTGGAGTGGTCACCCAACACCCTTGCTATGCCCTATGGTTTCCCTCGCTGCTGCCCAAGGGCAAGTGACCTGCAAATAGTGTTGCATGGCCAAGGGCCCAGCCACAGTTGTCGTGGTAACAGCTATGACCACTGGTCCAAGCAGCGCATGAAATCTCTAACTGGCGTCAGGTGGTGAACTGCAGGGGGCTGCCAGGGTCACGTGCTGTAGACAGGTGAGCAGTGGCGGTCAAGAGACATTAGATACATCAGAGACGTTATAACTTCCCCCCTCCTTGGGAACTTTGAGAGACAGAGTCACACATTTAACTCATGACGATCTCTATGCCATGCGCTCCCTGGCTAGAGCCATCTCATCTCCAGAAGAGCAGGAAGTTTCTCTGCATCTCTGGACACTCGTGGATGCTACAGTCCCGATTCCACCCACCAGCTCACCCTGCCAAAAGAATGGACCGCCCAGTGTAAGACCCCATCCTCCTGGAGATGCCAACAGGCAGAGGAAGAGAAGCCATCCAAACCCGCTCTTTCTGATGGATTCGCCAACCCTGTTTATTTACATGGAACAGCAAGAGGTCAATGAGAGAAGCCACAGGTCTGGGACTCCGATTTCTCAAACTCACGTGCTGGAATTTGCATGTTTATTCCAAACCCACACTCCTTCTGGCCTTCTTCCCCTTTGACTGCACTCTCATCTCCACCCTCCACGTTGCAAGGTCTTTTGCATCAGCCTGGGTGGGTCCCAGAGCTGATTTCTCCCTTGCCCAGCTCAGTGTGTCCATCTCCCTCCTTGTGGCCTGTGCCCTTATAGGGTGGCATGTGGTGTGGGG